CCTGGGATCCTAGCCGGCGTGCTGCCCACCTCTCAAGCGTCAACACGGAGCAGGGGTGGTTTGTCACAGCTGGCCTCTGTGGCTTCGAGTGCGTCCCTTCTGTCCCTGGTCTGTGGAGGTGCCGAGTCAGCAGTCACGTTCTCCAGGCCCGCGTGGACCGTATGTGTGGCCTTCCCGGGGCTGGCCCAGCCAGCCGCTCTGGGTGAATCCCACTCGGCGGTGCTGTGGGATCACGGGGACGGGCTGCGCTTGCCGGCCTTGTGCTGAAGCCCCTGCGTCTGAGCTCATCAGGGAGACCGGGCCACAGTTTTCCTTTTGTATGTTGTCCCTGTTTTGGTTTTGGCAACGCTGGCCTTGTGCCAAAAGTTGGCAGAGTGGGGCCAGTGTCATGGCACACTAGGTTAATCCTCCGCCTTCGGCACCAGCATCCCATGTGGGCACCGGTTCTAGTCCCGGTTGCCCCTCTTCCAGTCCAGCTCTCTGCTGTGGCCAGGGAGTGCAGTGGAGGATGGCCCAAGTGCTTGGGCCCTGCACCCCATGGGAGACCAGGAGAAGCACCTGGCTCCTGCCATCGGATCAGCGTGGTGCCGCGGCCACTGGGGGGTTAACCAACGGAAAAGGAAGACCTTTCTTTCTCTCTCTCTCTCTCTCTCTGTAACTCTACCTGTCAAATAAATAAATAAGTAAATCTTAAAAAAAAGAAAAAGAGCTGGCAGAGTTGCATCCTGTCGCGTAATCCGCAGTAGCTTGGAGGGGTTGGCGTGGGCTGTTCTGTAAACGCTCAGGAGTATGCAGTGGTGAAGCGCCAGGCCCTGGACTTTCTTTGAAGGGAGACTTTGCTTTTTACTTGAGAGTTGCAAGGAGAGGGGGAAAGAGAGAGCGTGAACCATCTGCTGGTTCACTCCCCAGATGGCCACACCAGCACCAGCACACTGTGCAGGTACAGGCCAGGTTGAAGCCAGGAGCTCCATCTGGTCTCCCACGTGGCTGCAGGGGCCCAAGGACCTGGGCCGTCCTCTGCTGCCTTCCCAGGGGCATTAGCAGGGAGCGGGCTCGGAAGTGGAGCAGCCGGGACTCGAACTGGCGCCCATGTGGGATGCCGGCAACACAGGCAGTGGCTCCACCCATTGCACCACAGCGCCGGCCTGGAAGGGCGACTTCTAGCTCACTGCTTGTTGTGGGTCTGATTAGACTCCCTGTCTTCCTGCTTTGATCTTGGCCAGCTGTGTGTGCAACCAGAGAGGTGGACGCCCACTCCAGGGGCCGTGGGGCGGTGGGCAGTTCTCCACTGCGGCACCCAGGGTGTAGGTGAGCCCCAGTTCCCCTGAGGTGTTGGGTTGCCCTGTGGGGTGAGCAGCCGCTGGCCTGGGCTCAGCCGATGACTGAGCGTCCCCACCACGGGACATCCCACTGGGCTGTGCCGTCCTACCCTCCCCACATCCCCTCCGTATGCCTGGCCCAGGCCCTGCTCGGGGTGGGGGGCTGCCTGAGGGCCAGCGAGGATGCCAGTGAGCCAGACAGCGCACCAGACGGCCACGTCGTCCACCTGCAGGGGCCCGGCCCCCACTCTGGGAGCCTTCCAGACTGCCTGCCTGGGGGAACACCTGCTTCCTCACGCCGAGCTCATTGCCACAGATCCGGACTTCACGGCCTCACACGCTGGGACCCCAAGCCTGGAGTGAGGGAACAGAGGGAGACGGGGGCCTCTGCCTTGTGTGGGGCAACCTCGTTTCCA